CAGGAGCACCTCCAAAAGGAGGTTCAAATCAAGTGTCAAGAGCTGGAGGAGAAGGTAGAGGTGCTTGCGTCGGAGAACGAGCGCCTGAAGCTTGCTGTTCAATGGAGCAAGTACCTCATCTTTGGACTGATTTTTGCTGCCATAGCAGTGGCAATGGTGACTCTATGGCACTTTGCTGGAGACAGGCTCACCGAGTGGACCCGTCATCCAAACAAAGTTCCAGAATGGCTGGTCGAATACTTCAAGCTCCATCCAACAGTCACCATGGCAATCCATCCTCTCCATTGGCTGGACAGGTCCAAGCTTAGTGTCTCAAACTTTGTCAAGCATCCCCTTTCTCCGCCGCCTCTGTGTCGACGTCCAAGGTGCGAGAGGTCTTGCTGCATCGCGAGCACAATGCGGACTTGTGCCCGAGCAACGACCGCTTACAGTGCGCAGGCACCGGGCTCGCGTTACAAAGGTGACCAGACGGTCCCACGCAGCAACAAATCAGTCTCTCAAAGCGGAGCGGCACAAGACGGCCGACGTGACAAGAGCGTGTGAGAACGCGTCAGGATTCCCCTGCTGATACGCGTCATGGCTGACATTATTGAACACTTTGCTCTGATCTTCGTCTGCGTGCGTAAAGTGGAAGCCTTGCTCGGCTCGATGGCTTGCTATTATTGTCCACTCGCCGTGATGCTGATTCGAGTCAGGCAGTGTGATGAACATTTTGGCCGCAAGCCGAAAGCCTTCACCCCGTCACTGTTCACGGAGCTTGAAGCCGTCCGAGCGGCGAGGAACTACGCTGCTTGTGCGTCAGTACCAAGACGCAGAACAGGCTCGTACCACTCGCCTCTTGTCCAGGGTGATCAGCACTTAGCGAGTGGAAAGTGGAGGTGAGCGTGAAGGCCCGACTTCCGTCGAAATGCAGACCAAACGCCTTTCTCGTTCAACCCGCCCAGGTGTCATCGTAGGCTACCTAGGATCAACTCGCTCTGACACATGAGCGGAGCGTCCAAGACGCGTCATATTGGCAAGCTTTTGAGCGGCACTTGTGTGCTGGTTTCAGGTCCAACCTCCCGGACACTGTGGATCGAAGACTTCACCGGAGAGGCTTTGCATTCTTACCTCAAGATGAAACGTCGTCTCGTGTATTCGTGAATGTATCAAGATCGGCAGACTTGAACAGGTGATTCAAAGTCAGGGATGCTCTTTACGGCTCTGGGACGGGATTGAGCGTCGGTATGT